ACGACGCTCGTCCCACAGCTCGTACGTCAGACCGGGCCGCAGCGGCTGCCGCAGGTCGCAGGCCGATTGCAGGCGCTGCTGGATGAGCGCCGCCTTGGGGCCGTGACACAGCAGTTGAACGCGGCTCAGGTGGTACTCGCACACGGCTCCTCCGCGCACCAGCCAGGAGGCCTGCAGCGGCCGAACGCTGCCCCGGATCAGCAGGCTGTAGCTGGGCTCGCTGCAGTCAGGGTCCTGGTAGTAGAACTGCAGCGCCTGGAAGCTGCCGTCGGGGAAGAAGCGGTAGGAGCGGGTGATGAACTCCGGGCCGGGTCGCACCTCGCAGCTGGAATCACGAGAGTAAAGGCTTTAAAACACGCACGCATTCACATGCCCTGGTGCTCAAAGGAGAACAGCTGTACAAGTGTACAGTGTGTCATCAAGACAAGCTTTGAACATGGAAGCGGGCACGAAGAAATGTATCAAAGTGGAGGGAGACATCCGAAACACACATTTTGTTGCACTTTATCTATCTGCGTCTGTAGATTTCAATCTTTAAAGAGTTTTTTCTCTTACAAACAGCACACTTTGCAGTTTGTTGACAGTATTTTCTGATTCATGTTAAAAAGAAAAATCCCAAATCCCCTCTGGAAAAACCTTTAACTCTAATATGAGGACAAAATCAAACTAGAATTATGAACAAATGTTCAGATTTATGTATGCAAATCAATGCATATTTAATTAGCGAATTCCTCATTTGCATATTCAAACATAACATTTCAGAAACTTGTGATGCAAAACTATTGTCTTAATGTACAGTGTGGGAAAGCATGCTGATATCTATTAGTTAAAACTCTTAGCCGTTTTACATTAATATTCACATTATTCAATGCCACATCTGTTAGGAAGCTAGATTAGTGGCATCGAATACTGTCTCTGATGGGCCTTTATTGTAAGTCGCTTTGAATAAAAGCATCTACTAAATGCATAAATACAATTTAAGTGAAATATCACAAATTCAAGAACATTTCAATTATGTTTTAAGCAGTTTATGCTGCTCCAGAGCGACAGATATCAAAGGATCTGCACAGAATTGAGTCCAGAATGGAAAGAGTTCCGTGCATTGATTAGGATGAATTTAATGAGCATTATTTGGAGCTCCTCACCTGCTGGACACCCAGTGTCCCGTGATGTTGGGCGGCAGGTGGACGGTCACCTGCTGTCCGTGAAGCTGTTTGAGTCCGGAGTGACACCTGGAGCTCGAGTCCAGAGGAACCGGATCAGAACCGACCCTGTGCTCACACACACTCACTGTGAACACACACACACACACACACACACACACACACACACTCGCACACATACACACACACGCGCACACACACACTCGCACACGCACGCACGCACGCACGCACGCACGCGCTCGCACACACACACACACACACACTCAC